ATTTTAATTTCTTGCTAGACAACAAAAGTATATTTTCAGTATTGGAATGCAATTGTTATACACTCGAATAACAAAGATCATTTTCGATCTCATCAGTACTCGTATTTCTCATTCAAAAATTTCAGTATTTCTCGTATAAGAATTAATTTTAACAAATTTATTTTTTTGTTTCGAAGGTGCGGTTCACGTCATTACAATGGAATAAAATGCATCTTTTTATTGTATAACAACTACAAAAAAAAAATCAAAAATTTTTTTTATCTGTTATATTTGATGGTTAATGTGGTGCTATAGTATAATTTTCTATTAATAAAATTATTTTATTTTTTCATTCTCATTTCTATAGAATAAGAGGAAAAAATCGTGTTTCCGCACCTTTGGCTCCTTTTAAAATAAATTTTTTTTTTCAAGCCGTCTAATAAAAGCATTGTACCTATTTTCAATCAATTAACTTTTATATAAGCTTATAAGAGTAAAAAAAACAAAAAAAAAAGAAAAAAACAAATTTATAATTTTTAAAAATCTTTTCTACATAATTTTCAAAATACAGTTTTTATATAGGTGTAATTAGGTGAAGTGTACATGTACTTAATTATTTAGCACATTTTCAACAGAATTGGAAAAAAAAGTACTTATTTTAATATACGCCCATACATATAATTGGAGTTGAAACTAATTTAATAGAAAAATTGATTTTGAAAATTTGTGTAGAAAAGTAAATTTTAAAATTTTAGTCGGAATTGTTAAAATTACAATATTTATGCCTATTATTCCTCTTATGGATAGAAGTCAATGTGCATGTAGTACTATTGAAATGAAGAGTTTTGTTTCCAGTTATTGTAGGAAATCCAACGAGGAAAGTGCGGAGTTGGCATGCTATGTAAAACTTCCATTCTAATTTTAGGAAATCAACTTTGTGAAATCACAAACTCATAGTGGGCGACTTATTCATAATTAATTCATAAACTCAAGACAATTTAATAATTTTCTTAAAAGTTGATAACTAAGGAAAGAAATTGATAACTTTAGAATGTGAATTCATTTAGAGTTTTTTTTTCTTCGGAGCCCGTGCAACACAAATAATTTGTTATTAATTTTATTATAAAATCTTCAAAACACTCTTTTTTCCAATTAATTTTTAATTTACTGTTTTAACGAGTATAGCGCTTATACTAAATTATTCTGCAATTTTTAGCAATTTTTATAAATATTCAACTTTATTTACACCAGCTATTGTTGTTTATTTATTATGTATATAATTAAATGAGCTATAGTTTAAGCGTTATTTAATAATCCCCGAAAAGATAATTAAAAATATGTTAAGTGCAATCAATATTCATTAATAAAAAATTTTTGACTAACTTAAATTTCCATCTTCAACAAAATATCATACTAGATTTAACTAACTTTTTTCTAATGGGTATAATTTGCGTAAGTGCATAAACAAAAGGTGCTTATTTCATTGTGAATATTTTAAATAAATTACGAGTTTAAGGTTTTGAGGGCAAACAAATTTGATTTAAAATTAATTATTAATGATTAAAACCAAATAATAATTATTATACATGTGAAGTACAAAATAAAATTTATAGAACTTCGGTCATTTTTGTCACATATTATGTACAAAAACAATATCGTGTTATCAGTTTATTATCACCAATTAATCGTTAATGTTTTTTTGATAAGATAGATTCTCTACATAAATATGTACGTGTACGCATTCTAAATGACTGCATGTGTATTAAAAATTTAGAACATTGATTAATTTCGCATAAATTACTCTAATAACCGATATTTTAATTTTTAGAAAATTATTCCATCAATAACATGCTGGGAGAATTGTGAAGGAATTGTTATTCCATAATGTTCTAAAACAGTTTAATTCATCTTTACAATTCTTTGGTATTATTTAGAGCGGAAAATTAAAAATAATTACGTTATTCTGGGAACAAATTTTTGAGAAGAGTTATCACTGAAGAGTGGGATAAAATACCATTCACAGTTACATGTCAGTGCAATGCCAAAAATAATTATTGTGTGTATTTGATTTATTTGGTTAAGTTCTCCAATCTTCTAAGGCTGGTTCCTCAGCCAAAGAAGTGAGAAAAATTTAAAACTCAGCTTCTTAATGTGGCAAAATAATAAGAACTTTTAATTAATTCATTATACATATGTAAATGTCAAAATAAATTCAATATAAAAATTTTAAATTGACATTTAATTTTTTTAAACAATTTCTTAACAATTGAACGAGTTTTTAAAAAAATGTTTGATTTAAAAAGTTTTAATTTAAAGAGTATTTAAAATACAAAAAAAAACTAGTTTTGACAAATTGGAATGATTTTATTTTCTTTAATATGTACATAGGTGGTGGTGACCGCAACAAATGTCATTTTATCACAAATCTTGTAATATTTTTTCAACTAATTTCAAAGCATATAGCGCTGTAACCTATTTTAATTATGCTTTGTGCATGCGCAAATTACAATTATCCATGAATGGACACAAACATTTCAACAAAAGTATTTTACTATTTACCAATTTTATCAATCGATCTTTTTTTTTTTTAGAAATTCATTTTTCTTTACAGTCATAACTAAAATTGTTTTACGTGAGAGTAGATATGAGTTGAATATTTTTATGATTTTATTTTCACTTTATTCATTCATTTTCTAAAATTTTCTTCATTGAAAAGAAATGAAATGAAAATCTGGAAATTTTTTTCTTTTTATTGTTAAACATATTTTGTTCGTTCAATGATCGTTAATTTAAGAGAGCTAATGAAATAAAAACCAAAATATCAATTTTTCATTTTAATGAACACTTTACATTATATATACATATTACTATTCCAAAACACATTGAACCTTGTGAACAGGGTGCTTTATAATTATGATATTGTCATATAAAATTTTAGCGGCATTATATACATATGTATAGATGTGCATTTGTATAGGTGGATAGAATTCAATTTTTGAAAATAATATTTTACAACACATCATTATGCTTTTGTCACTCCCAATAAAAATCTCACTATCATTTCTATTACTAATAAAAAAGCTCAAAGAAATGTTGGAATATTTGCAGCAAGTTTTTAATTTAAAAATTACTCTGAAATTTGAGTTTTATTTACAATAAAAACAAATTCCCGTGAAATTATCGACACATATGAAATATTAATTTCGAAACAACCCTGTATGTTAAAAAAATTGTTTTCTATTTATGTTTTGTATATTTATTTATTTTTGTGGAAATGACGTTTTCAAAGAAAGCTTTAAAAGTGAATTTTTCACAATAAAATGTAAAAAACAACAATTTGTATTATGAAGATCGGAAAATAAAAAACCAAAGAAAAAAAAAACAAAATGGTTATTAAAAACTGATCTAAACTGCAATTTAATTGAAATATCAATTTACATTTTAATTTTTTTTCATCCACTTTTAGTTATATATAGCTTTCTACATTTTCACGCACATAGATCAAGAGGTTATTGCAATATTTTCTACATTCGCACAAAATTTGAATCAATAAACTTTGGTGAATAATCAAATATGAAACGTGTAGTTATATGGATACGAAAAAGGTGGACGTTTCAACTTTGTTTCAACTTTGGACAAATTTTATTTTTCAACTTAATTAACCTATGTACATAAATAGTAATTACTTTTTACGGTGCAAATTCAATTAAATTTTTCAATATCATATTTGATTTTAATATTGTTTTTAAAGTAAAAATTGTTTTTTTCGTTCCTTCTTCAGTTATTAAAAAATTTTGTTTTTAATATAACAGTTTTCAATGAAATGCATTAAAATTTTAAAAATTTCGGTATTTCATTTATTGATAAAGGTAGAAGTACGATAAATTTTTATATAAGTTTAAATAGTGAACTCTTCATACAAGGCCTCTGTATTGGTGAGCAATTTATTTTGCAACAGCATTTTGATTTTCTCGAAAATTCCTTATCTTTATTACAATCTCGGTCTCGGAAGCAAAACCTTTGGGATTTGGAATACTCCTTATATTAACGAGATTTTCGTGCACAATACATGGATTAAGAAATCGTTGTCAAATTTAAGTGTTTTCCATTTCGTCACTTAAATCACTTCATAAATGCCGTTCATATAAATAAAATATTAAAATTTCGAAAAAAGAAATTCAAAGAAATTGTCATTATACTCTTAGTCTATTTCATATTACGTGCAATACAATTTTAAAATTTCAGTAATTTAATAGCTAGTAGTTATATATTTAAGCCCTATGTATAACATAATCGTAGTTTTAAATTTTATAAATTATAGCTTGTATAAAAATAATGTGTAATTTGATAAAAATGAGGGCAAAAATAAATTAATATTATATAGGTATTCGTATTTATAGGGCAAAATAAAAATAAAAAAAAAATTGCATACTTAAAGATTCGTATCACATTTATTACAACTCTATATTGAACTATTGAATTATGAAATAAAATAGAGAAATAGAAACAAGGTCAATAATACTATAATCGAAATAAGTATTTCGATTTTTAAAATATGCAAATTTACATTGATTGTTAATATTAATTACATTTCCTTACATGATCTTAATATTAAATTTTAGATTACAATGAAATAATTGTATATGTGAGTAACGAACTTATTTTTGTGTCGTACTTAAGGAACTCCTAGTCGACAATGTTATTTTTGTGAAACAAAATTTAATTATTTACTTTTTGTACGAGAAAACTGTTGTTGTAACTTTGTAAATTTTTATCACAAAAATGCTAGAGTTTTATGTAATTTATAAATTTGCAAAATATTTGAATGCTATACACTGTACAATACTCATTGGTAGTGTACAGTGCAGATTAATCTCAATAAAAATAAGTGCACTATTAATAGTTCCTTACTAAAATTACTCTAACTGTAGCATATCTTGAAATATGTAAATCATTTTGAATATACGATGAAAATTTGCAGCACAGTACAATTAATATTATTTTCAATTTTTTTCTTTCAGGTTTCTTTTTAATATACGGATGGATAACTTTGTTGTAAGTAAAACTTTCTTATTTATAATTGTTTTTATTCTAAAATATTGAATTTAAATTATTAAGTTTCGAATTTAAAATTAAGGAAGTGATGAAATGAAAATTTATTGTTTTTAAATTTTTTTATAATCTTTGTATAAGAATAAAGTTTTTTAATAATTAAAATGCTATTGTTTAGTTTTAGGTCTATTGGAAAGTTTATTTTGCAATACAATTATTATTTTATTAAGTTATTTCTAAATTGTTGCAAATAATTGTAATACTTAAACATTAAAGTTTAAAAAAAGGAAAATCCTGTTATTATAGTCGTAAAAATTAGCTTGTAAACACTGATTTTGGTATAGTCAAATGACGGCAACAATCTATTTGATAGTTGCAATTGTCATTAGTTGTTGGTTGTCATTTTGTTTTTCGTAAAAGAAAAATTTACCATTTAAAAATCAAATAAGTGGTTTCGGGCCTATTTACTATTATAAAAACCAAAAACTGTATTACAAACCTCGGTATATTCATTCACAATCGTTGAATATCCAAAGCCTACTAAAAACTAACCTAAAATAACACAAAATTAAAAACTTATAAAAAAAATTGCCGGTTTTCATAATGTTGACGACAATTTTGATATAAATTACGATATCAAACGATTGACGTGTGTCAGTTGCAACACCGAATGCTTGGTAAATGTCAAATGAAAATCATTTTGACTATGCTGAAAGAAGGGAATGCCTACATTAAGAACTTTATATTTTCATTCATATCGGGAGTTTATTTTAAAAATTTGAAAATAATTTGGAATATATCCGAAAATATTATTACTACTATATTAATTCTCTTTTAATTTCATTAATAATTATAAAATATTTCAAAAATTTGTTTATGTTGGATAAATCATTTTCTTGTAGGCCAGCTACAAGAAAACAATATAAAGCCAGCTATTAAGTTACGTATTACAAATCTAAATTGTTGTGTTTCAGAATTAAAAGTGTTATAAACCTTTAGTTGGAACGCTAATATTAGTTTAAATGACATGTATTTGATGTATGTAAATACAATATTAGTATATTTATTAATTATTATACGCGTTTACATAAAATTATATAATGTTCAAATTTTTTTTTTTATATTTCAATAAAAAAAATCAATTGAATTAATAAAATTTTCGTTTATCTATGTTGAAATTGAAAATTATATACATACATACATACATATATTTCTATTTTTCCAAAATATTTCAATGTTATTTATGTTTGTTTGTACAAAATATAAATGACCTTGAAATGCCAATGATCTTATTCTTTTGTCAAAAAAAAAGGAAAATAAATAATGCTTATACATAAGTATGTGTGTACATTTGTATGTGTATACAGCTCATAGACTTATGTAATTATAAAAACACATATGTAAATAAATTGAATTAAAATTTTTGTTATCTATAAATAGTACATATACCGTTTTCAAGAAAAATAATATCGTAATATTGTAATTTACCTAATGCCTTAGATTTAGATTGTATTCTTATACTTTTAACTTTATGTATGTACATTGTACACATGTGTGTATAGAAGCAGCATAAATTTGAGTATTCGCTCTCTATTTCTTTGAAGGTAGTTACAAAAAAGAAATCTACTTTATTCTCTTACTCTCACTTTATAATAATTGATAGACTCTTTCGTTACCTACAATAAATCTCATAAAAAAGAAATATTGAATTTTTCATGGAAATATTTTTTTTTTAAATTATTGAAAAAAAAAACAAATAAATAAATAACAATTACCTTTAAATTTTATCAATTGACCTTGAACTTACAACGCGCCTAGTTTACAATTAAAACTCTAATTTTTTTTCCAATTACTTATTTTTTTCTTTTTTTTTTTTTTGTAAGAATTAAATTGAGTCAATGACTTTGTATAGTTGTTATATGAACTCTAATCACAACACTTTTTATTTCACTTTTTATGCATATATGTATTTATGTATGTACATAGGTACTTGCGATATGCTTAACAAATTTAATAAGCAGGCTTAGATATTCATTAAAAAAGTTTCCACAATTTTTTTCATTTGCTTTGTGTACAAATGTTTGCCATCTATATGTCAAAATTTTAAACAAGGTTGCAATCAACTTTTAAATTTTTTATTTATCAAAAATAATAAAAAGAAAAAAAAAATTATTTGATTGAAATATGAATAAGCCTTCTTGCGTTATTATCGCACACTTCATAAGATACGAGATAAGATATAAAAAAAAAAAATTAAAATCGCTTATAAAACTGACATGAAAAATGAATACCTGAATGATTGCATAATTCAATTTTTTTTATTGTTATTATTTAAATTTTCTTTGAAAAAAAAAATAACGATAGTGAAATTATTAACGATATCGTATTGTTTAGGAGTATGTTATTAAAGTAGCGATATTGCCGAAATTCCCATAGACAAATGGCCAAATAATTATTGTTCTTTGCGTACAACAATTATTTGGATAATTTTTAGAAAACTCAATTTGTATACACTTAAATACTTAAGTTTTTGGAGTTAAACAGCAGACCGACAGACCGACATGTTGCTAAAAATAGTTTACTTATACTTCCCTACTATGGAGAATTACGTTTCCACCGAAATCTCGATATGCAAAATTTGTTGCCATCACATAACCTATACCTATTGTATACACAATACGGTCGGTAAAAAGTTATCAACTTTAATTAAATAATAATTGTCGATATGATCATAAAAAAAATAATGATTGTAGGCCGAAGTGAAGACTGATAAAATGACGAAGATGGAATAATGAGGTGCTCGCATCCGGTATTCGCACAATTCAAGAAATTTAAAATTTAATACACCTCATGAAGCATATGCAATTGGTGATGTTGAATCGCTCAAGTAACTGCAAGATGACCTAATAAAACCTAAATTTATAAACTCAGCACTGTAAAATGGCATTTTTCCAGAATTTAAAAATTAACAAGAGAATAACAGTAAACGTATATAATACGAATTACATTTTATTGAAAGTAAATAAAAGTAACATCACATTAAAATACAATAAGAAAAAATTAAAGAGAAGGGCAGCTTGAAATACCTAGGTATTATAATCGAATATGATCTGAATTGGAACTCAATTATAAATAATTTATTAAAGACAATTAAAAGAACTGCAGGTATTTTAAGAAAAATCTCTAACAGAGAACAACATAGCTTCAATCGTAATATCTATAACAGTCTTCTACATAGTAAAATCAGTTATAGTATAGAAGTTTCGGTTAATACTTACAATACAATATGATTACTCTTAAAAACATGCGAAGTTAATCTATCACACACTTATACTATAACAAATCAGAGAACAACAAATTTAATATACAACAATAATGTCAAATTCTGATCTACGATTATAATACAAGAACTGTAAACCAGCTTAGAGTATACACCTCTCGAAACTTAAACGGCTTGGTATCTTAAACGTATCCCCGAAACGTTTACCCGTTTGGCTACGGAATGTTGCAGTGCAGGTTTTGTGCCAGTCCCAGTCCCTGAAATATTTTTTTATGGAGGATTTTTTTGCAAAAGCCTTCCAATTTACTTAAGGAAAAAGTGGCAAAACAATAAATTGTTAATAATGTTCAAAAATCCCGTATAAAATATGTACGTATGTAGACAAATTAAAAAAAAAAATAATAAAAAAAATTACAATTTTAATTATGATTAGATGGATGAAGAATTCATAATTTATTATTTTTTTTTTTCGGTTTTTTGAAGTACGCTATATAAAGATTCCATATCGTTAAGTTTATATAAAAATAATTTATAAATTTATGCTTAATTTGTTATTAACGACAAGAAACAGAGAATTCAATTAAAAAAAAAAAATTGAAGTTATAAAAATAACAATAATGAAAAACGTTTAATTTTCTTAACTTTCATAAGATTATCTTTTAATTATGCTGAAGCATGTACACGTTTTTATAATAATGAATAATAATTGTAGTTAGTAGCTTGCATTATTTGCGAATTTTATGAACTGTTGAAATATTAAATTAAATATTCAAAACTTTTTAACAACAATAGAAGAGCATAATATGCATATGAAATAAAATATACATAGAAGGTAAATAGTTGGTCACTTTAAAAAAAATATTGAATTAACATTTATTTAGAGTCAAACAGAAAAAAAGTAAATATGGATTTGAAAACAAGCGTGCGCTTAATATAATAAAATCACATAAAAGTGTTTGACCTACTTTTATTAACTCTTCTTTTTTTTTTCATTACAAAATTAATAATTAATTAACTAGTTTTTAAAGCAGGGAAAATTTGAAATATTAAAATGAAACCTGATAATTAATTTTTGTAATATCTTAAATTAATTTAGCGTCAATTATAAGAGCTATAAATCATATATTAAATTGACCTTACATTTTAATAATTACACGAGCATTAAAATGTGTACTTTAATCTAGATACTTTTAATTTGTCTTTAATTTAATAATCTTTATGGAAAAACTTTAGGTATTTTGGAGAAATACGATCAGGATGACGTTGTATATAATGGTTTTCAAAGTACATACATATACATATGTGTATTCGAAAACTCAACTTAAGTAGCCGGAACGGCCTACTGCGAAGAAAACAGTACTGCAATGTACTAGTATGAAAAAAGCACTGCAGTTATCGGTGATAAAATTTGGAAAATATTTCAAGATATTTTGTAATTAATTTTTTAATATTTTCTATTATAGTTAAAACGCTTGTTGATGTATTGAAGAATGGGCAAATTAAAAGAGAAAGATTTTTCTCTGTTCAATTATTTTGTCTGAGTATAGTCTGACAGAGAAGTTTCTGGTTTAAATACATTTTTTTTATTATTGTAGACCCTTTCATAAACGCAGTATATCGCGATGTATGCTTAGTGAAAAGTGTTAAAAGTAAGTTGTCAAAAATGTTATTCAATATACATTTCCATATACATACATAGTTTTTGCTTTGGCAGTATTTCATT